ACTAGGTTGGAAACACCTCAAGTCCAGTAAACAATATGAAATATATAAAGGAGGTGACTATAAGCCTGATCTCCACAATTACTAAGGTTAATTTTTACACTGTGGTAGATGGTGAGAGCCAGAATGTTGCTTGTTGCTTTCTACCATCAACTTTTCATTACTGAAGACCTCATCATTTGCTCCACTGTTTAAAACTTTATCACCTCAAAAAGAAATTGCAAAAAGTCAATTTCTGGTACGATGTCTGCTCAAACATTTTGTAATATCTCTGGAAGTACTTACAGTGGAAGCCAGGTTTATGGCTTAAATTAAAGCTAGTGTCTGAAAGAGGAGGAGTGATTACTACAGTAAAGCCTTTTCACTTTACTTATTTGTGCCATTGTAAGTTTTAATATGTCACCTCTTATAAGTTTAAGTTGAGGCCTGGCACACAGGTATTTACTGGTCAATTTTCAGTTAAATTTCCTGGATCTTTGCTGGCTTTGTTTTAGCAGTCATATATGTTTCTACAGTATGTGAAGGGATTACAACTGGTTTCCCAAAATTTGTCAATCCTGTCAATTGTTACTCTTGGCTGAATGTGGGTGCTTCCAGTTGACTGGCAGCACTGCTGGAGTCTAGTGATGATGGATGGAACCTGTGTGTCCTATTTACTTTGCTATTGTTACTTTCTTGTTAGAAACAGTCCCAGAATGTGTTTCATGTCTGAACCACTGAGCTTGTGACATCATTACAAAGTAATTAAAGACTTTGATCCTTGCTGATCCTGAGTGTACACTCAACATATCTGCCCGATGCAAACACACAAATGTATATTATTTATTACTATTAACAAGGAATGCAAAATAGGACTGCCTTATCACATAAAAGTCTATCATATGTTAGCATCCCTGTTTGTAATATGATAGTAAAACAGGCTGCTTGGTTAGCTTGGTGTAAAACTTGTATTTGACCATGTAATGAGCAGATACTGTATATAGTACTATACAATGGTGACTCAGGTTGAACTAGTAGGTTTAGTGACTCTCACACATCTAATGCACAGTTACTTTTTGCAGTTGTTCCTTCTTTTCTGGTGTCATTTTATTAAATGTGGTAATAATCTCCATCACATCAGTGTGCTTGAAATAAATCTACACAGAATCTGTAATTCAGCAAAATGGAACATAACTGAAAGGGGGTGAATATTTTTGCGAAGTACTGTATGTCAGATTTTATTCCAAATGTCCACCATATTGGATGGTTAATATCTTCTAAACTTCCTCTCCCTTTCTCAAGCCTTGTGAGCTCAGGATTAAGGCAGGCAGACATAGCACAGTGAGAGTATTAAATGCTCTTCTCCCGTAAGATCACTAATAGTGAGGTTTATAACAGAAAAACAGCTAACTTCAGCCTAGCTTTGAAATATAGTAATATAAATAACCATATGCTCTCTGACAAAAGTGGACCTTGTAAATACATCCAGATACATGTATTAGAATGTAAATTTTTAAGCCAGCCTGTAAACAATGCACATCTATCACTTTCCTATGCCCATGGCACAAAATATAACCAACTTTGTTGTATTGCAAGTTAATTAATACTAAATCTTGACATGAAAACCCATTCATGTCAATGGCTGGATGATGAAAGTACAGATAAAAGGGTTTACTTATGATGAAATGAGCAGCATAATTGCAAGAAGAAAAATAAAAGCCGGCCGACTAGGCTTTCATACAATTACTGAAGACTGATTCACAAGGAGGTCCACAGCCAGACAAAGTCCATGTCTGAGAAATGTAAAGAATGACACCATAGCAGGCACTTGAAAACATGAAAAAAAATGGAGGGAAAAAAAAACTTTCTCACGGCATATTGATCTAACAGCTTCCAGCTGTCCGGAGGGTGAGAGCCAGCGCCGGTCCCTGGAGTGTTGCTATGGGAACAATGTTACGGTAACTGGAATTCATTAGAGATGGAGGCTGTTTGCAGCTGGATGTGCCAAAGATTGTGGCTGTACAGAAAGTTATTTTATCATTTCGAGGTTAGATGTTCACACTGAAAAATGGGGGTCTGCTATTTAAAAGGGTTGGCTCACTGCCTCTTGCCTGAACTGGTGTGGGGTAACAGAATTATCTGGCCTCCTTCTCTGGCTTCATATGTGCTCTTTCAGAGCTCAGGGAAGACAAAACGAATAAGGCAGACTTTAAATATGTAATAATCTGCATTGGGAAGAGAGTTATTCATTGAAGGGCGTCATTTTATTTCTACTTTGATATTAAGATTACAACTTAAAACTGTTCTTGCTGAAATGGAAAACAAGACTGAGATTTTGTTTAAAAAAGGAGAATCCTAGATTTCACTTAATAAAAAGGTCATGCTTAAATTTGCCATGGTAGCTTTGGGTTTTATTTTTTATTCTATGATAGTTTTCCTCTATTTCCTGAGATCTGATCTTTTTTACTAAGCAGAAGTTAACCAAGAAAGACAATTTTTTATTTTAGACATATGTTTGTGTAATTACAGTTTGACCTTTATATCTGGTAGCTTGTATTTACATTTGAACCATAGAAATCTCCATTATAACATCACTAAGACCAGACTCTTCTTTGATAATACATTTCTGTTGTACTTGTCTTGTTGGATAATTCTTTGTTCTCCGTTAGGACACAAATCTAGTAACGCCCTTGTGAGACAAAGTACAAGTCTTAGAACTGAAGTCATAATTCAATATTATGCTATGTGAAGGTGAAACTGTGAAAAGTGGAATTATGGATTATAATGTCTCTGCTTCATGTTGCTAAATTTTAATTTTACTGTGTTTTCTTTGGCAAACTAAGCTCATACAGCAAAGCCGAAATACAGCAGATCTGCACACTGTTATCAGACCTTCCACTCTGTAGGCAGAGCAAATGATAAGTCTGTTTTATATTAATGTGGGACATGAAAAGCCAACTGTAGCTTGTCAGCTCTTCTAGAATTGGGGATTCTTACTAGACTAGCACTGATGGAAATTTTTAAATTCCCATTCGCCTCAGTTACTAGAGGATGTGTAAAATTATCTCACCATTTCTGGAATTTATAGACCACGCAGACTATGATTCTTTAGGCTGTTTCCTTTGGCAAACCTTCAGGAACAGCTGCTAAAGCACAGAATCGCTCCCTCTGACCAAGCAATGAGAAGGGAAATAAAACCAATAGGAAAAGAGAATTAGCTTATTTTGGGAGTTGTAGGCAGGTGTTAATATTGACAATAGGAAAATGTGAAACAGGGGATTCAGTGCAGCTGTTAGTCACACGTTGTAAAGTAACAAAGTTTTTACAAATTTGCCAAGTGCACATTAACAACATCTCATGCTGCTGGCAATTATGCATTCCTGAATAAAGGCGAGTACAATGCATATTAAATTATATACGTATTTTAATATTGAAATACATAAATTGAAGTATATTTGGAAAGGAATGTGACCAGAACAGACTCACTGTGAATGACCTAGGCACAGTTCCTAAAAATGTGAGAAATGAACACGAAGTGCAGGGATAGATTCATATGAGCATATAATTTAATTAATGGTTCTTGGCTAAGAGCAACTAAGCTGAAGTGAAAATACATTACTTCTCCTATTAGTTATTTATTTAAGGCCACTGGACACTAATGGTTACTATTTGTAATATCTGGCAGCAAAAGCACTTTTCCAGTTTTGCAGCCGTCCGTAGAAGGACTAGGAAACACTGCTGATCCCTGCAGTAGATGTTGATTCCTTCAAGAGCTGCAGGATTCCCTTTTCAGGAACAGTGGGAAGAACACTAACCCCCTCGTTTTCCTTCTTTCCTATGTTTTAATGTCCATTGAGGCGATGTGGTCTTTTAAGGGAAAAGAGGCTTTGTTACTAGGAAGTTCTCAGTTCAAATCATGGCTCTGCCACTGACTCACCGGTGGGTTGCACTGAGCAAGCTACTTCATCACTTGGTGTTCCAGCCTGTGGGCAAGAGATATGGCAAATCCAAGTTCTTCTTGTAAATTGCTATCCAGCTGTGGCTGCAGATGCATAGTTCATTCTATAGTCCCTTTACACTGCTTTGGGCGAGTCTGCAGATTGACTGCTGTTGCTGTTGCCATGACTCACTTCTATACAAACGATGTGATTCAAGTTCCCACCAACTACTCAGTGGATAAGCCTGCTCTCTTTGATGTGGGAATAAAGAAATGCACAGTGCTTGAGCACAGTATAAATAATTTTGGCAAGTTTGCTGTGACTACATGCAGTAAAGGTGTTCTTTATAAAGCACTGTATATGAGTTTAATATTTGCCTGTTACATCTACTGTAAATAGATGTGTAATTAAAAAGAACACTCTGTTCAGGGTGATTGTACTTTTCAGATCTTCATCATCTATCTTCTAACCACTTCTGCTAATTCGGGGTTACAAGGCAGGGTACACCTTGGACTGGACACCCAAGGCAGGAAACACCTTGGATTGGACACCAGTCTATTGCAGGACAGACACATGCTGACACCTATGTTTTTGGACTGTGGGAGGAAAGTAGAACACCCAGAGGAAACCAATGTAATCATGTGAAAAACATACAAACTCCACACAGATAGTACCCCCAGGTCTGGATCTGAACCAAGGGCCCCAGCGCTGTCAGGCAGCAATGCTAATCATTGCACCCTCCCTAAATTAGACATTCTTTTGAAAATGACTGTATTTTCAGTAACCCGTGGAAAAATGTTTAAAGAAACCTGGCTTAAACATAGTAACCATTATATCAATAGAGGAGTTTCACAAAATAAACCACATCCATAGGGCACATTCATTGATCTTACTAAATAAATTTTAAAAAGCCTTGAGTATAGGTGCTTTTTTGCCAAAAATATTGCAACTTCAGTGTTATTTTTTATGAGAACCAAAACCGGAAGTGGTTCTCCATTTTCAACCTTATAACACAAGAAGACAAAGCAAATGTGAACAAACCTATAGACCTAGAAAACTGAACAACAAAAAACAATTGCACATCCATTTTGAGAACATTCAGCAATAATTTATTTTTCATAATCTCAAGAACCACCAATTTTCTCATCTTGAAAATTCATTATCAGTTGCCAACAACACGGTTTTGAAAAATGTAAAGTTACTATACAAATTCTTAATAGAAAAAGAATAAATTAACAGTGGAATTTTTCTTTATAATTCCACATTTGTTTTCTACAACATACACCTTTTAATGTCTGATTATGGTTGAACAGAATCCAATAAAATCATGTTACATGCTCTATTGTCAGATGGAGGGAATGACCTATATAGTTGTATTTTAGACTAATGTCCTTCATTTTACACAACTGTTATTAAAACTATTGACGACAATATAAGTAAAATTCTACACCTAGGTAACGAAGCAGTAACTGGTCATCTTGTAGCACCTGGAAGGGTTGTTACTATGTCCAAACTAAAATCTAATACTGACTTAAAAAATAACTTTGAACATCATTAAAACAATGGTCAATGCCTTTTAAAATACACTGTCCCCCTTTTATAAATCTTGAGAGATTTTAAGTTATCCTTCCTTGCAACTATAAAATCTTGTATTTGTTAAAGACAGCAATGGTGTGATGTTAAGTTTGAACTTACAACACGTTACATTGGGTTTTGTTTCAGAGCTTACCACTAAGTCAGAAAGGACAGATTCCGTTAAGACCAGCGTACTCTAAACCACATAAAGATGAGGTTGCCCGATATAGTAATTTTTCATCAATAGCGATTAAAAAAAATGTAGGAAGAGATTACATTCCAAAAACTCCTACAAATACATTTGAATAGCTGAGAATTCATGGACAAAATTCATTACGACTTCATCATCAGGTATAAGGCTTGGTCTCCTTTGTTCAAAGTGCTCTGCCATGATAAAAAAAGAATATACACGAAAAGATATAAGAATGTATGGTTTTGCTATTTAAGGCCCATTTTCAACAAAGTGGTGTAACGTGCATGCAAGGACAAAGATACGACGACTGTCTCTAAAAATGACCATTTGATGAAAAGTCATAAAAAGATTTAGGTTGTCATCTCGGCTGTGCTAAGAAAATGTTTTCAGCATGTACCAATAAGGTTGCTTACTTTCTGCTGTTCACACTGTTTGTCCTGCAGCATTATTAATCTCTCTCATTTTCCTTTCCTTGGCGCTCTACACTATTGCTGTCTTCATTCCACACTTTAAAGAAACAAGCACATGAGACAAGAAACAAACACCCACAGTTGTGCTATTCTCAAAGGAATCTGAGGAGAAGACAGTTCTAACCTCAGCAAAATATTCAATCCTACGGCAGAGGGCATTACTGTACTTGATAGAATGCCACCTCATTTCAAATCCACTTAGCTTCAACAGACTTCAAAAATAGACTTTGGGATATTAGAGGTAATGACATTATTATATGAAAGAAATAAGAGGATATTACTGTTTGATCAACATAAAAAGCAACTAAGCCCTCGGCGATACTAATGGCACTGTCTAGCTGTAACAGTTCAATTTTTATTAATCTCACCAAAAACAAAAATAGAAGGTGTGCTTTTTCAAACCAGTTCGTAAAAAAATAAAATCATTTTAAAAAACAGATCAAATTGAAGGTGGTGAAAGGCTCATGCAAGATGTACTGAGAAGTGTTAAATTAGCAACTGCTACTTCAGTGTAAACATTATGGCTTCTTCACACTGTTAATAGTAATAAACGATTGGAACCCTTATTGTGCACGTTAACCACTAAAGAACTGCCTTACAACAGTAAATAAATTTTGTGATTCCATAGAATATCAGACAGGACAATGTGATGAACTGAGACCCTGTTTTCTTTTCTGTGAAACAATTCTTTTTTCAGAAGAAATTAACTTGTTCAATAAGAAATTATCTTGGCCTTTTAAAAGAAGGATGACATTTCATGCCATTATTCACATGTGATGTTCTGATTAAATGGATTTATTTATTGAAAGTGCCATTTTACACAACAAAACCTTGATGCACACATACAGTATGTACTGGGATGTTCTATTAATTCTTGTGTGTTTTGTGGTAAGAGATTTTCTAGTCTTTCAGCGATGAGTATTTTATCAACAGCTTAAATCAGGACACCTTCTACTGATTTAACATTGAGGGAAAAAAAAAGAAATTAGGAAAGCAGAGGACTTCATGTCAAAAACAAGAACCTGAAAAAAATGGATCAATTTTTGAATTTTTATCAACTAAGTTGACAGAAAAGAAGCTGCGATTCCTTGAGGTGTGCTATTATTTTAGTATTTGTTTTGACTCCTCATGTTGTGCATACTTCTGCAGAAATTACAGGGTTCCTGTTCTTTTTACTTTAAATCAACTTTTAAAGACTTCTTTGAGTGAATGTTTAAAACAAATGTCTCACAGTAAGTACATCACATCCTGCAACAGTGACTGCTCAACATATTTCAAAGGAAAGGTTACAAAGGTTATTCATCTAAGATCTGTATACTGTTTTTAACAGCATCTGATTCTACACCAAAAGTTAAGCAGTTTTTGATCCCACACAAACCCAGATTAAGTACAAACCTGTGTTTTGTCTCGTGAGGCAGAGTATGATAAAAAATGTAATTTACACATTAAATGTAAAATGAAGATAGCATGCTTGTATCCCCACAGACTGGGGAAAACAGAAAGCTATCATCAACTTACGTACGATGTAATACTTCTTGTGAAGCAGGCCTGTTAAAAAGCTGTTTCAGTGATGTTACAGTACAAGCATCAGAGCACCAATGTGTATAGCACCGGTGTGGGCACAGAACCCTGCTTTTGCCAACATGTGGAAAAGGAGGGTATTGGTAGAAGCCTGAGATATGAGCCCGTGTGGATGAGGCTGTCTCAAAATCATTACAAAGAAAAGTTGTGTTTAGAATGTCATCCTCTTAGCCTGAGCTAAGGACATGAGAGATTGGCTTGATTTCCTATCCAATTTCCAGGATACTTCTTTTTGTTGCAGAGAATAAGGGGATTGATACTTATCTGTTAGGCATTCTTACTGTATTTGGATCTGAACCCTTATAAAAACACTTTGAGAGTAATGGGCATATATTTTGCAGACAAACAACATGCTCATATACTGAAACAGCGTATGTGACTTAATTTTAATGCTGAAAAGGGGAACTGGACCTCTGTGCGCCATTTATCTGACCCGCAGTCAAAAAAAGGCTTAACTATAATGTATGGAGCGAACACTGTTCCTCTGCCTTTGGTGAGTTTTCGATTTATCGTGAATCGCCTGGGGGCAGTCAGCAGGAAAAAAGAACAGAAATGAAGTACAATTTTCCAACTTGAACAATACTAAGAGAACACCCAGAGAAAGTCCAACATTTTTGATTCTGCACGTTGCACAAGAACGAGGCATCAGACACTGTGCTATATGAAGGCTGGTGTTTCTTCACTTGAAAGATCGGTCAGGTAAACCTCTGAAAAGTCCCATTATCTTTCATGGTTTCCATTCTTTCTTTGATCTTTGGTAGTTCAGAAGCTAACAAGATGCACCACTGTCAATTTATGTTTTCTGCAGCCCGTGGACACTTGATGTTCAGGAAATGCAACCAGTCACAAAAGCATTTTTTGACTGGGGATGTTGAGTCTTCGTTTATGTCAAAACAGATGGGGAAAAACACTTTTTAAAAAATATTTTTCAATATTTTCAAAAGATTAGAGAAGTCCATCTTCAACATTTAATCTCTTTTATAAAAATAAAACAAAACAAAACAAAAATATTGGTCCAAAATAACAAGCCATAGCAAGTGGGTAAATTCAATTCCCTCTGGTTTTAGTCATGTTGTTCCTGCAGCGATCAACAGAAAGTTGTACTTGAAAGATCATTGAGAACTCTGAGAAGCCTGACAATACGCTGTCAGTCCTGGGGCTCACTCTTCAGTGTAGACGTATTTGTATTGCATTGGAAATAAAAAGCTGTTCATGATCTAGTGGCTTTTTCTTTTGGTAACCTCAGCAATTCAACAAGAATTCTATTTTGTGCATACAGCTCTGGCTGTTAGTTTGTTGAGGGCTGGTGTTACATGGGGTCCAATGGCACCTCCTGGTCAGAGGCTGGTATCCTTATAGCTCATTGTTTGGTAGCCCAAGAGTAACAGTGCCAATTCGTCCAAATGGCAGATCGCACAGCCCAGCTTGGCCAAAACATCCTGGTGCCTCACCTTTTCTGGTTGTTGTGAAATAAAAAGTGCTTGGAGCTGAAAGTCAGTTTCTGAAGGGTAGGTCTACCCATGTAAGACAAACATTGAGAGACAGTGTTGCGATCTCTGAAGGACATTGATGTTGGGGGCAATTCTGTGAACAAGAGGAAATCAAACCAGAGTCCCCGGCTTGGCCTTTTCCCGCCCATACCATTGGACATCTGCTAATTCAGAGTATAGGGAGCTGTCCAGGTAACAGCTGTCATTGTAAGAGCTGAAAAGAAAACACACACTCCTTAATTTATTGCTCAAGGACTCCGTAGTATCTTACTATTTTAAAATTCTGATTGTACCTTTTTAAAATTAAAGTCAATCTATTGAGAATGATTCAATTTATTTTTATTATTTTGCATTTCACAACATCTGTAAAGCAACAAATAATAAGGTACTTTATCATATACCTTTAGATTAATAAAGAGTGTTTATTTTTGCCATTATACAGTACCACAGGAATCATGAGAGTATCATGAATGAGTACAGGGAAAATCTCAAAAACTATAAAATTAAAAATATATATATATCCTCACTACTTGGTGATTTAATGTGAACGTTTTGCTAGAAAATTTGCATTTGATGCATAATTTGATACATAAATTCCTCATTATTGATAATGTCAGTTTAATGCAGAATGGCTAATGGCACTGTATTATACTCAATTAGCCATAATTGTTTTCTGCTGTATTTTTTATTTTTGGTTAGACCTCTTCATAAGTTGAAAATGAAGCATAGAACTGCCATTAACTTTTTGATGACTTTGAAGCATCAAAGGAAATTTACATACACTGAAATTGTTCTCTAACATCAGACATTCCATGACTGTGTTTTTTGAATGTATATTTTCCAATATGTTCTACTTGCAAAAGACATAGTACAGCTTTTTTTAACTGAATTTTAATGCAGAGCTGACGTGAGAAGTGTTAATTATATTTACAGATACAGCACAAGCACAGACAGCATGCTTTGAAAGGGACAGATGTAGAAAACAAGAGAGACAGGTAGTACTGTACCTCTATTCGTCAGTACTTTGGTGAGCTGGATCCTCAATGGGAGAGTTTTCTGCTGTGTCTCTAAAGCAAGAGAAGTAGAGACGATAGTAAGGCAGAGGTGTGTTAGTAGGAAACTGGAAATGGACAAGTTGTTAGGTGAGAAAAAGAAATGGTAGGTTAGTATTATTCTAAAGTTGAGGATAAGTACTTGTTAGCAGTGCAAACTGCTGGACAAGAGGAAAATTAGGAAACATACAATAGATGGAAAAGAAATCATTTGTTGATCCATACATACTACAGCATGTAAGTTTCTCTATACGTGAAATGCCACATACTGCAGTTTGTGCATGCATACACTCTAGACCAGAAAGTAAACAGTGTTTGGAAAAAAGATCTGTTTGGTCTGGAACCATACATAGTGTTAGTAAAATATGAGATTTGTTAATGCTATGCTTTGTCTTATGCAAGGCAACATCACAGTTACGCTTAATTTAGTTTGACAATCCTGATCTTCAGGACTGTAACCACAGAGTCTTCCAGTTCCAGTGACAACGTTTTCACCGGATCTGCTGAGCAAACCTCATAAGCATAAGCTCATGTACTGTACAGTGATTGGCCATATTATGGCAGTATAGTAGGGCTACAATAGTGTGTAGCCTTGACCTTCCTCCTGTCTTTGCTTCTTGATTTGTTATGTATTCTTACTTAGTTAACAAGCATTTTGTCCACAATTAGACAGCACCTTTCACGTTAGTCTACATTTTCCTGTCTACCTACACATGTATAAATTGATTTAATGAACACATAATGTTTTTAAGAGTATTAGTTTCTTATGTTACCAATGTGAACTTAAAGTTTATGGAACTGTCTTCAGATATGAGATGGAGCTGAGAAGCAAAGTCAATCATCCCTGCCTTTACTTGCAATAACCACATATTTGTGAAACTGAGGAGATTCCGGTTAATCGTAGCCAACAAAAACAGCTATGCACCGACTGCCAATCTTTTATGGTTGGTGAGGGGCAGTGAAACAAACACGAATACAATGAAACTGTTGACTGAAGGCAGTAAAAAAGGCTTTTTAATGCATTTCTCAATTGAAAATCCAAAAAGGGCTGGATTATAAAATGCTTATAGGATGGAGTACAGAAATGACTCTACATTTTGCCAAGACGTCTGGAAAAAAAAATACTTTTTGTACAAAAACTATTGGAATTCCAGGTCTTGTGTGCTGATGCAGATGAGTACCACCTTTATCTCACAGGCTAATATCAAGTTTAATTTGCACTTTGCCTGGGACACTTCATTTGTGCTTAAATTGTGAGGGGCGCCCTCCTCAGCCACCCTCCGTACTACCCAGGCTGAGCAGAAACCGCTTCAGGTCGAACTTACCCACTCTGCCAGCTAAGGATGTGCTGAGGACTGCTGGGCGGGGTGGCTGCAGGCTCGCTACACGGCGTCACGCTCCTCTGGCTGCGAGGAGAGGCGGCTGGGGAGACACAGACACAGACACAGGGGTCAGGCAGGTGTCGCAGGCCTCTGGAATCCCTGCTATGCCACTCCTCTGGCGAGTGCAAGGAGGGCAGAGGGTGGGAACCAGGACTCGCAAACTCTGTTCAGCTTGGGTGGGTGGGTGAGGGGTCCATTTGCCAGATCACCCTTCGGTGAGTCATAAAGGTACTTCAGCAAAAATCCTGTTCTTTAAAATCCTCCCTGAAGGAGGATTTCAAGCTATTTACGAAGGCGGGTCCCCCTTCTTATTTAATAAAATAAGCATGGGGAGGGGGGGGGGGCAGCAGGACTGCAAACTTTTCATAGTGTTTCCTCCCATTGAAAAAACACATTTCACTTCATTGTTTAGGCTAAAGTTTAATTTGTAAATTAATCAGTTAAGCCCATACTACTGCAATCTGTTAAATCTTTTAAAGTTGATAACAATGGCACATAAAATATTTCACTTTTTTATATTTTAACCTACAACTTAAATCATAGTCATGACATTCTTTGGTCTCTTATTAATACCCTTAAAGGTTTCCACTACATTATGATAACGGAACAAAAAATTTAATTGTGCACAATGGGCGATAATTTACTCCTTTATATATTCTTATATATCCTAGTTTAATGTATTGGCTCCAGGAAGTGTATGCAAGCCTGGAATAATCTGGGTGTAAAATGACTACACCGTATGTTCTCTCTTGGGTGTGGTACTATTTATAATTAAGAACACACATTGTGTGCAAAGTAAAAAAAAAAGTCCTTTTTAAACAATAAAAATATTCATCAGAAAAGTCGGCTTCAGTTCTGTAATATACCACAGGAAAAAAAATCAACGGCACCATAAGAAAGCCACAGGATTCTTAACTGTTGACCCTCCTCTTTATTGCTGCTCTTACGTCAAGATAATGGTCAAGAATTATGTACCTTTGAAAGCAGACAGGTATGTGGGAATCATCCACATACCGTATTTTTAAAGCCATTAGAAAACACCATCACGTCAGTAACTAAACTTGTGACAGTAATTCTACAAATGTGATTAATGGATATGCTACATCTCTGACATCACAGATGACAGTTAAATTGGGTTCCCTGATTTGACAAAACATAAAGTGGCTGTACATGTATTCTTGTAGAAGAAGATTTTTACTTGTTACATCTGTTTGATAAAGTGCTTAGAGTTTGGGAATTTGCGTTTTTGTAAGCTGTCAGCTACAGCAGACTGCAAAGGACCATTACATTGGATTTCTTCCCGGGCAAATCCACCTTTTTTCTTTCCCCCTCACTGCACTAAAATGGATGAGCTCCATCAGCTATAACCCCTTCTCCAGGAGATATGAACAATGGATTATTGTTGAAAATCCTGTCAGGGAGAGGATTTTTGCTTCTTGGTTTTAACGCTGACAGGGGATGATATTACAGGAATTACACACAACAGCTAGTTACAGTTTTAGTATCTTAACACATCCAGCGGACCACCCTGCCTGCAAAGCTAAGGTCCCCCCTTAAATGAGTATCTAATTTCTGGGAAATTCACTGTGGCGCGACATTTCTTTTTTTTCATCACAAATTTGACAGTGCTGGTGTTTCAAAAAAGTCCACCAAAGCCATGTCTGTCAAGTCAAACACGTGAAGGCAGATAAAACGATCACTCCCATGCAATGTAGCTCTGGCTCATACTTAGAAGAGAGTGTTCCCGTGGACAGGTGCTCTTTGTGCCTACCTGACGAACCTTTGGAGATCTGTGTCATCCTGTTTCCCCGGTTGTGAGCCACAAAGGAGCCCTGCAGTGTGCTGTACTGCGAGCCGCTGTCGGAGGAGTTGGAGCTGGTGTGTGAGAGTCTGTTGTGCTCTTTGAGGGAAGCCGAGGAGCGCTGGTACCAGCACCGCAGCTCCTCCGACACAGCAGTCCTGTTCCCGCCTTCCCGCCCCAAAGAGGGAGTCCTTACAATCTGTGACCGGGACGGGGTCAGACGGCCGCTCCCTTCCCCCTCCTCCCCGTGCCAACTCTCCTTGTACATCCCCCCAGCCGTGTAGGAGTTGGAGGTCTTGAACTGGGCCTTGACGCTGTAGTGTCCCTCCTGGTCATTCTCTAGGCTGCGCACAACCACGGGGGTGGGGCTGCCCTCGATGTAGAGGGGGTACTCCTTGATGCGGTACTGTGACGAGGGCTGGCTCTGGCTGTGGAGGTACACCCCATGGTGGGCGCCGCCGTTCTTGGCTGCCAGGTTGGGCATGCTCCCCGAGTTAGAGGAACCCAGGTTGCTGGCTGACTTGTGCCGCTGCCTCTGGCGCTGCCGGGCTTTGGACGGGGAGTCCTCTGCTAACGTGGAGTAGTTGGGGTTACCCTGGGCGGGGTAGTAGTGCTCCGAGCTCGAGTGGCTGGTACAGGAGGAGCAGTCGTCCAGGGGGTCGGAGCCATTACTGCTGCGTGTCCGCGGGGTGTAGAAGTCTGGACTGCCCGTCTCGTTCTCTGAGCCCAGCAGCTTGCCCTGCGACTCCAGGCTGGAGCTCCGGTGTCTAAAGTGCTGTGCTAAACTGTGCAGTCGAGTGGGGCTGATGTCGACTGAGCTGTGGGAGGAGAGAAGCAACCGGTTAACCCAGAAGCCAACTTGTGCTGTCTGCTAATGAGTTAGTACTGAGACTAACCTACAATGCCAGTTAAAAAAAAATAAAGGTGGGAATTACGTAAATGAAATCTGATGAATAAGAAACTACTGAATCAGAAGGGGTGAATTTTATTTTTAAATTGTATATCTGGGCCCTTTTTCTTTTTATAACACTTTCAACATTATTGTTATTATTGTTTCTTTACACAGAACAAGGCCAGTGTCTTTGGCAGGACACAGTTCAAAACAAATCATGCCTTTATATTTGTGAGATTGAAATGCTTTTACTAATGTGTTTGCGTTGCTACAGTACATGTATCTGTGCAGCCACATGTTCCTACAACCCTGCAGACTACAGTAGGGCACTTAAAGTTTCCTACAAGGACAGATCTTCCAGATTGATTTTTGAAGACAATCTAGTTGTGGGACATTAATTTATTATAAGGCTTCTCCTTGCAATATATTAACTTTTAGATCTGAACTATTTCACTTGAAATCATTAGAAGCTCACAAACTCACCCCTGCCGACAGTAAACTTCTGTGAAATAATACCACCCCTCCCTTACCTGAACCCACGTTGAAAGAAAAACTGGGCCCACACATTTATCAATAATGGGCAACATGTGACATACAATTGAAATTAAGAAATGTTCAAATTAAATACTATTCTTATTTTGAGTAAATACTGTATCTGAATATTCCCTTCTGCCTAAAGATTAGGTAATGTAAACCAGAGCAGAAAAGGCTGTTTCACAATAGTAGGTCAATGTAAGAGATATTAAAACATTGTAGCTTCTGATAATGCAGGATACTCTGTAGCAACTGACAGCCAGAACACAGGGCTGAAGCAAACTTTTGTCTTCAGAGATTAAATGATATGTCCAAAAGTACTTCATCAGCCCCAGTTGACAGACTGCTGGTTGCAGCTGCAAAAGTTTGACAAATCCAATTACACTTTTCAAGATCTAGGTCTTCAAAGTTTTCTTAAAGTGGGTGCTGAGGACTTTGAAATTATCATCAATTATTGCTTGCACAGGTTGAAATTCAAGATAATTTTCCTGTAAAAATTTCCTGCAATGGAAATATATTAACACTTCCACCTCCCAGCCATTTCTTTCACAATTTTCTTTAAAGAGCCAATGGTCTTGTCACATAACAACAGAATGTTGGTGCTGGGATTCAGAAGTGAGACATTCAACACATTCTGTTAATAGAAAAATCTCTGCTTAGTATGCAAAGTTTGATAGTCACTTAGATTTAATTAACTTTTCTGTGTTGGATGACCCAGCACCAAGATGAACAAACTGCAAGTCGTCTCTCAGTTCAAACTATTCTGTTTTTTTCCTCATGGCACTCACTGCACTTCTGCATGTAAAAGCCGCAGAACCCATTATCCTGCATAAAATTGCGAACACTTCAATATTAGGCTGAGATTTGACAAAGTTTCAAATTTTTACTGCAATTTGCAGAACACAAATTATTTCTGGTTTATATTTCTTAGAAGCCAGAGCTACCCTGTGTCCGATACAATGTGTGAAAGTAACATGTGGCACCAAGTCCAGAAGTTCTGCTTTTAATGCAATCTTTCTCCTCGCCATAGCGCATGTGCATATGTCGACAGAACATTTCTACTCCAAGTCATGAATTTGCAGGATTGCCAAAATCTTCCTTGTCTTGACAATTTTCCTTGCAAAATAGTACATCTTTGCATAGTTTCCCTTCATAACAATATTTTATTAACATGAACATGATATACCCGTAGAACTATCTTTTGTGTCTTGCAACAATGTCAGTGGACAAAGGAACAGCTTTAGTTGCATATTTGCCTATTTACCTCCAGTCATACAACACATATCTATGACAGGAAACTGCACAGGATGCTCAAAGTTTTTTTGGAGGTTGTCTTTTGGTCTTACAGTTCTTATCTCTTAAAAAATGCCTATATGCTGCCTTGCCAGCATGAGTTCCATATATACTGTAAATGCCTCTTTAACTTTAAGGATTTCATGCTGTTTTGTACTAGCACCTCTGCACACAAAACACGCCATAGGTACTGCTCACTTACCTGTTAGCAGGTAAGTGAATGGAATACAACTTCTGTTAACAGATAAGAGTACTGAATCCAGTTGTCCTTATATTTTTAGCAAATAACTTACGTCAAGGCCATACTTTACTGATTAATAATAGTGGCAATCATTTAACTACTAACTGCAGCGATTTCTTCAGTGGCTGAAACATGTTTATTGCCATCGGTGTTTGTGTCTTTAGCTGTTTTGTTTCGCTCTCTTTTATTTAAAGAGCCAGTGATTCATTTAATCAAAACCACAGTCACATACGCAGTCAGTGCTTTCACACACGTATGTTACACACCTTGTCATAATAACACAACAGTGTACAATGATAAATCAAGAGTCAAACACTCAGCATGATCTATAGGCCTTAAAACAATCAGTAAAAATACAATTACCACAATAGATTATAGGTATTGTTCTTTTCCTCATGAAACATTTTGGGTGCCCCCTCTCACAATCCTTCTTGTTCCCCCTATGGTTTTAAACCATAGGCAAATTGGATAAACACCATTTCAAAATTTGGAATGGTTGGGAATAAGACAAAAGCATGAAAGCAGGGTTAAAACAATGGCGAGAAGCGGGTTTGTTTTATCAAGCTGCTCTTGGTACACTTACCGGGTAGAGTGGACGTAATGAGGACTGCGTACCCGTAGATCTGGAGTGGACGGCATGCTGGACTGAGAGTTCCAGTGAGGGAGACTCCTGATGGGGCTGTTCTGTAGCGAGTTGGTCCCTCCAGCCTCAGCACAGCTCCCTGAACTAGGAAATCGCTTGTGGCTGCTGCAGCAAGAGACATCGACTAAGACGGCGAACTGGAGATGGTATGCAGTCACACTTCTTTTTTATTTTAATTCTTTACATTATCGAATATAAACTTTCAACTCTTTACAGTATAGTCTGAAGTGAAAAAGGTTATGAATTCTGCACAGGTTTCAGTGTCATTCTATATATGTCTAATGGGAGGACATAACAAATATTAAGATGTCATATTAACAAAAATGATTACAGTTTGTTTTTTTTTAACAAGGGAAACAGAGCAATCTCCCTGACACATTCGGTGTGGTTTTCTTCTGCTATTAACATATTTGAAAGACAAACTGAGACATAGTGGATATAACAGTTAACAGGTTTTCCAACTTAGCTGTTTGTTGTTTGTTGTGTTTTAACAATCCTAAAAACAAGAAGCCAGCTTGTCTCGTTGGAGAGTTCTGTCTGATTTGAGTCATCGCTGACTGAGGACTGACCTTTTCACCTCTTGAGTCCAAATCCCTAATGACAGCCTGTTGACTAACCTGGAATGACTGTGGGAAGAGCGCTTCTTCACTTTTTCATATGGCTCATCTAAGGAGGACTCGCTCCACATTTTGGGCTTGATGGGAGACTTGTCATAGTCGGTGCGCTGGTAGTGTAAGTGCCGGAGCCCCTCCAGGGACTGGGGTGGAGGAGGTCTGCTGTGGGACGGGGGCCGCGGAGGCAAGCCTTTGTGGGGGGAGGCAGTGGGGGAAAAGGTGCTGGTCACCTGAGAATCATCTGAAAAAGAGACGCAGAGGGAACACAATGTGTCAGGAGCACGCAGATCAACATAGATCAGAACGCCGCACAACGACTGTGTTTTTCAGAGGCATATTGTTTTTGTGCTAGCTGCTAACCACCATTCTAACCACCAATTGGCTACATTACTCAGCTCTCCTCCCCACCAATAGCTGATGTGTGGTGAGTGGCGCACTATGGCTGCCGTCGCATCATCCAGGTGGATGCTGCACATAGGTGGTGGGGGAGAGGAGTCCCCATTACCTGTAAAGCGCTTTGAGTGGAGTGTCCAGAAAAGCGCTATATAAGTGTAAGCAATTATTATTATTATTATTATTTTTCAATTTTTCTTCAGAATTATGAGATTAAGATAAGACTGAAGGCACTCTATTTAATATCACAAACAATGCGGAAAAGGTTAAACAGACATTTTGCTAAAATGACTTTGGTCTTGCCTGCAGTAATTTTTCTGCTAGCACCTTACACCACTGGGATCTGTAAAGAAAATGGATGAAACCCTTGATTCAATTAGTTACTAGTGACCAAACATGCTAGATGGGCCAGATTGCTTACTCAAATTTATGACCTTTTCTCCATTTTCAGTGAGCAGCCTCTGTAAAGGAGCAGGATTTAGAGGGCAGGTTGTGCAGGCTGGCTAAACGACAATTAAACTTACTGACCAATGTCAGTAGTTGTAAACACAAGATCTTCATCAGCCCAATAAACAAGAGACAAAAATGAACCATGATCTAATACGCTCAAGAAAAAGTGACTGTCACCATTAACTTAAACCTGACAAAATAATTATCAAGCTAGAAGTAAAAAACGAATTGAAAACTTAATCTACACACGTGGGCCATTCTGTACAGTCCAAGGGACTATGCACCTTCATAGGCCTCAATGAACAACGGAAAAATTATACTACTGATTTATTTTCCCCCTTTATTTTCAGATGGTATTATCAGGATGGCTAGCTACCTGTCAGAGAAAGAAATGAAATTAGAAAATACTATGGAGAAACCCAAATATTTTCAACATACCATCTTCCAGAACAAGGGCATCTGACAAAGAGCTGTCTTCAGAGCCAATATTTGCTTCTGTGGAAAAAAAAAAGGTTGCACATACAGTATTTCAGTACAGCGTTCTGTAAAAGGGTAGTTGAAGCAAGCCTACTGTAGGTTCTCTGCAATTGTGGTCTTGCTCAGCTTGGTCATTCACCGTATTTCTGTACAAAGGTTAAAGTCTTTTTAAAAATGCTTAGATTGTGTGTATGATCATCAGTAAGTAGTTCACTTAAAATAACATGCTCTACTACCTTAATTACTTAAATATAGTACTTAACAATCACTATGTCTTTTCACAAAAAGCTTTTTTTTTCTTGACTACAGCCACATACTTATCTTCAGTGAAACATCTAACTACCCCTGATGCTGTTTAACAGTGAAGTAAGTTTTTTTCCTTTAAATACTGAAACCAGAAGTTAGAAGTTTTAATACGATGTGTATCAAATGAAATGATCTTCCTCCTGAAAGTTTTGTGGATTCTTCATAATAGGGACTTGTAAAAGTAAAACACTGATTATGTAATTATGGTCTTTCATGAACAGTAACTTAGCATTATTAACTTTTAGTTTGCACTGAACTTAATGCAAAAGCAGATTACATTTTATTGTCCATACATGACTGTCTGCTAAAGATGCAATCTTTGACATTTCACAAGAGTTTAGAAAAGAGAAAAGGTCCAAAGCTGATACAAGTTGTTTTGTATCTTTTCTAAAGTGCCTCATTAAATTACGTATTGTTTATCCGCAATTTACCTTCGATGATAAGTGAAGCCCTCTGTGTGGGTTTCTTCCCAGATTTGATGCGGTACTCGTTGATGGCATTCTCGATGTCCTGCAGTTTCTTCAGTGCGTTCAGGTAGGAGGTTTTTCTCTGTTTCTTCAGCTTCTTGCTGACATGGGGATCACTGGCAAGTCGTCGTGCCGCCTCTGTGATCTGCGACTGGATGGCAAACTCCCGTTCCAGGCGCTCCAGTTCTGCCTCCTGCCAAATGAACCCACGGTTCAGCCCCCTCTCTTCGTCACTGTCAAGCCTATAGCTGACAGTGCTAGAGTAGTGGCTTTTGCTAAATTAACAGAACATAACTTCTAGATTAAAAATGTTTTTTTTTTCAGTAACATTTAGAACGCTTCACATCCCCTTGTCCTTTTATGTTTGTCAGGATACAGGTACAGCATGTCTCTCACAATCTGGCCTAAAACTGAGTTCAGGATGGAAAAGGGGAGCACTTTTATTTCCAAAATGGAAGACCTGGGTCACCTTTGTGTGGTGAGCTGAGGTGACCCCAACCAGACTCAAATCTGACTTCAGTCCCAGAGTCAGATAATGACACAGCTCAGGCCTGAACTGGAGACTGGACGATAGTACTTAAGGCTGTGAGTGCCTTTGACGACTGACTCATTCAAAAGTCACAGAGCAGCCTTTTTTTTGCAAATTAAATTAAATGCTTCCATTACTGAGAGCTGTAATCTTTTAAATTTTAAGTGCTTTTTGAAGAGGCATTTTTCCCTTTTGTTTATTTACTTGAACATTTACTTAGGCTTTAAATTGTGGAGCACTTAGGAAATTGCGCAAAATGCAGTTTAGAAGTCTTTATTATATTGTATAGTGTTGTTGAGCCTTCAAATAGCTAGATGTTAGTGTAAAGGCCATTGACATGGAAAATCTTTTGCTCTCACTCTGAACCATATTTTTAAGTACACAAGTCCTTACTGGTTGGAAGTTTTACAATATTGGTACCATAAAAACTACAGATCTGGTGAAACATTTACAAGTAAAGAAATAGCCTAAAAATTGATGAAGTGTGATTTGCTACTTTCAGACGGTTCTTAACTGCTGCTGGTATTGCAGCAGTTCTGGTGCAATGTAGACCAGAATCTATGACTCAGTTTTAAACCTTTATTATTTAACTATTAGCATACATTTGAAATTATGACATACAAACAATTTAGATTTGTTTCATTACTTAATCACTACTTAATTTAAGAAATCATCAAGGGGACTTTGAATAAACCACAATAATTGAAAATATCCTTATTTAATGTTACCCAATTACAGTATGCTTCAATTATGAATTTATACATAACGCACTTTAGTTTGGATATGTAGTTCACTTAAGTTCACAAAATTTATTATAAGTATTTTATCAATTAAATAACCACAGAACATTTTCAAATTTATTTTGTTTGACTAGAATTAACAACTTAAAAATGCAATAGCTATGAAATTGGACAGAGAATACTAGTCTAATCTGCATTCAGGTGTAATAGGATCTGAGGGAAATAGTCTTGGAGGTGTCTGGCCCTGACAAACAGCTGGATAGTATAGCAACACTATTTGTGGTCAGAGGTCTAAGGCTGAGAACAAGAAAACCATGGATATACAGGTAGAACAGAAAAGTCAATGCCTTCACTCTTAACGTGGAAGAAAATAAAAAAATAAAACAACCAGTACAGTTACCATAAGTAATACACTTAGTTTAATATCAAAGGCAGAAAACTACCGAAATATAGTCTGTTGCAATCCTTCAGATTTAAGCTAAATTCCATAAGGATATTAAAAGAATATTTTAAAAAAATCAGATGTTGAGTACCATTTAGATTTTTGTTTGCAGAGACTGATGAATTTAGCTAGAGAGGTGTACCCTACATATTCATGTAATGTTCCCCTACAAATTCATGTATGTATGGTTTTAAATTGTATTTCATGCATACTATTCCAACACCTGAGCTTTCTTCGAATGTAATGTAAGTCATTATATTTTAGGTGATCTGCCCTCACCTCTCCCTTCGGCAGGATTTTCTGCTCATCCAGTTTAAAGGCAGTGCCAATCCTCCGGCGGACAGTAGGCGGTTGTTCTCCTGGATCCAAGGGGTATTCCTTAGGCAACTTCCCCGTCAGCTCCTAAATCCAAAAGAGGGATTGAGTGTGCCATGATAAAATACAAGGTGATTCTTATATAGTGCCCTTCATGCCTAAACATCTAGAGCACTTGACAAAAATTAAAACAACAAACGTGTTAAAACAAACCCAGTTATGTTTTCTTACAAAAAAATATCTAATAAGATATGACTTGTAAATATTATGAACATCCATGCACAATATTTTAGCATTTTACATATTAAATGGCATAAAAAAACCCTCTTTATCATATGATGCACTTGAAGGAAAATAAAACAGTGCTGCTTCAGAATTAAACAATGATTAGACTGTATCAACCCACTACACAATTTACAGAGGAAAACTAAAAGGGTATGCACTTTGAAAAACCTACGAGGTGTTTCACTGTTTAGCAATCTGTTACAATACAAAGAGGATAGGTCCAAAAGAGGTCTAACCTCAGAAACATATTTTAAAAAGAACTTAAAAACATATGACAAGTAATCTCACCCTTTGATAAAGGCAGTTGTTGTAGGGAAGAAATTATAAAGTGGCAAAATATCCTTGATTAAAGTGGTGTTTTGTTAAAAAAGTTAAAGATTTTTGTACTGTAATGTACTCCATACAAGGAGAATAGAGGCCAAATCCATTTTCCTTACAATTCATAAGAGTTTGTGACAACAAGAAGTTGGAAATGTCAGCTGTGCTGTGCTTACCGCCTCTCGTATGCAGAGTCTCCTGAGTTCCTCCAGACGCTGGCGTAGTGTCTCTTCCAGAGCTTCCTGCCTGGATTTTAGTGCAGCCAGCATGTCTTTCTTGGCAGACTGGGAGCTATCAGACTCCTGGGAACCTGTCAATAAACACAAAAGTTATTGACTCAGCTGACAAACAATATTTCCATTTGTTGCGTGTGGATATACTGTATATATATAAATTAAGGAAAAACAGTCTGATTACATCTCCAAAGAGTAAAAATCACTCATGACAGAGTACATTTGGGCTCTCTACTGAGTTATGAATTTGGAAGTAAAAATGAAAGAAATATCAAATGGCCGAATAATTTACGTTCCTAACATTTGTTTTACAAGCAAAATTTGGCCAGTTTATTTTAATAAGGCTGAGAGGCACTTCATTCTCGGAATAACTAGACTAGCATGTGGTAATTAAACTTTCAATTGTGATAATTCTGTGTAAGTCTTCACTGACAAAATTAAATCACTAAAAGCCCAGACACCCTCTGTCACTGTTTCCACTGTTTATTCTTCTCTTATTTGCTGCACAGGGATCAGTCTGTCTAGTAGTTTTAAGACAATAGTGACTAAGGTTGACCTTAAGAATGTGATAACGAAATGTAACCCTTTAACCTGTAGTCTGCTTGGCTTATATTAGGGAGTGTTTTCCTGTTCTGAGTTCAGTATTAACTCATATTGCAAATTCCTTTCTGACATCTGGAAGTCCTCCTACAGTACACTGGAAATGGCTGAAATGAAGCCACGTCTGTTAGGAGACTTGATTCACCTTCAGATGATCCTTCCGATTCTTCACCATCCTTTTCCTGGCAAAACTTGTTTAAAAAAAAGTTGTGGCAGCACAGCTCCAAGATCACTGTAGTCAAAGCACTGAGACAACCCTACTGAGAGTCTGTAATGACCTCTCCTGATCTTATAAAGCTTCTTAGCCACCTATTTTTGTACACTTCGATGTTTCTTCAGCCTGTGACAGTCTGTACCATGGGGTTCAGATTACGAAATACCGATTTCATTTTTTTTCTTGCAGACTCACCTTGCAATGATTTTGGACCTAGTTTTTTACATTCAAGTCAGCTTGGTTCCACTGAATTTTCTTCTGTACCTTCTGAAGTGCTTTATGGAGTTATCACAGGACTGACTAATTTGTCTCTGGTATCCAATATAAACAGATATTATTTTCGTTTATTTTTCGTTTCGTTGTTAAACAGGCTATACTCATATACCGTTTCTATTGGGGATAATCCAGAGGTGGCATTTTCTAAACGCCAAAGGGTAATTTAATCATGGACAGCTGCAAACTGTTTAAAAATAAAACTCCAGTAGACAGAGGTGCTATTGGTGGACTCTCGGCTTGTTAACCTGAGTCTTCTTGCACTGAAAGCTCCTTGATGGTTATAACTTGACTTGCTGTATGCAAATGTTTGGCATCATGGGGTCTTGGTACCCGAGATATCTAAGAAAAGAAATCTAAATTTAACCGGAGCATTAAAACAGTACAAGTCCAGGCAAACTGTTTAGAATAATGTCTACCAGCAGAATTAACATGCCCCACTTTAATGGGGCTAAAAGTTTAGTTTAGTGCAGTTAAGTGCAAACTGTGCCTCAAGAAAGTAACTCCACTTACACAACATGAAAAATGTACTGGCAAATCATAAGCCATTGTTTAAAAGTAAGTCTCGACTGCAGAAGAAAACAAAAAAGCCAAAACACACAGCTGTGCTGCCACTCCCACAATACAATCTTTTCAATTAGTGGCAAAAAGAAAAGAGCCCCAACCTGCCAGTTCTTTGCTTTATACAAAAAATAAGGGTTAACAATCAGTGTGATAATAAGCTTTACAAATGTATGTTATATTTACAACATGGCGCTTAATGAAACTATAGGACCCCAAATAATAAGCATTGTAACAAGAAATTTAAAATAAATGTCACCGTGAGGTTATTAATAAAGCTATTTTAACCTGCTGCAAATCCTATTGTGACCAGGTAGAATACAGGGTTCAAATATTTAATATACCCAGCAAATTCAGGTTTTGACTTGCCCTTGAGGAACAGGCAGGTACTGCAGACAACTTGTTCTGTGAATCAGCTTGCCAGTCAGCAACAGTAGAGGAACATGCTGAGCCCACACCGCAGTGAACAGTGAGTAGCCAGCGACACAGAATTGTAAGTGTCAATTAAGACATATGCAGCACAAAAGTGACGGAACATAAAACATAAAAATGCATAAGCTACTGATAGTTACAAATGGGTACTTATGTTTTCACAGTTTCTGTAAAACTAAACATTTTTAAAAAGTTGGGAAAGGGCAAATCCTGTTTTTCAGCTGCAATCAGATTAAATTTCTAGAAATAAAACCGACTTTGTCGTACTAGTGACTACAAAAATATGATATTAACAAAGGTGTCAGTCACTGTTTATCTTATGCTACTTGTTAATTTGTATTTTCTCTTCCGATCACAATGGTCTGAGTGAACAGGTGATTGCTGTAAGGAAACAAAAAAGCAGAGGCTTGTTTGTTGCACACTGTAATTAGGCAACAACATTTGCCTGAGATAAAGTGTCATAATTAACATGTTTGTATACAAAAATATAGATTAGTTGCCATATTAAGTCACTACCCTACCAGCAAACCAAATAATGTTAAAACAATATCATACAAGGCTGGAAATTAATACAGAAACTTAAATTTGTAGATTATGTTGAATCATTTTTTACTATGTTGTCACAACCACTATATAGCATTAATACATTGCTGCACATTTGCAAGCTCTGGCAACTTTAACAACTTTAACTTTAACAGATTAATGATGTGTAGAAAACTTCCCCAAATAACATCTCTTATTATGATCTTATTACATCTAGTTATTAAAATTAGCTAAGTGTTTGGAATGTGGCTAAAATGTCACGACTGAATGTTCAATTTTATCATAAACCTAGTAGTTACTAAAACATTTTGTTTAACATAATCACAACACAACCTTCCAAGAACAAAATATCAATTACAATAATATATATAGGACCTGTAAATAATAACTTTTGTATTATTTTTTACATAAAATAATACAAAGCTAGTGTTTTGTACTCTCCCCAATTTTCGCTGTCATTATTTAAAAAATGAACATCAAAGCTGACACTTACATTTTTTTTAAATAGCAAAACACATCCATAATCAAGTGAAATAACCAGTTTTTACTGTTAATGATACTAAGATATTTGTGCTTATGATACTTCATACTTGAACTAATGTTTGTTGAGTTCTGGATCTAGTTGCTCCAAAATGTCACATTTTCTGCGAATTACTTACACATTCAGGCCTTCATATTTGACAGGAATGGCTCGTACTGTGTAATCTTATATGAGATCAGCAAATACCAAATTCCCGATAGGTTCTTAATCCCAGATAAAATCAGAATGAAACTTCAGATATTAGCTGCTATATACCTGTCTTCCAGATAAGAATTTCTATCAGAATAACAGAATACTAACAGGCAACAGAATCACTATCAATATTCAAATATACTGTATACACTTAGTTTCTTCAGTTGTATAGCATGATGAGCTGATGGATAATGTAACTATTTTCATTAAAATACCCTTGGAACATCTACTATTGTACATGTATTGTGCACGACACAATTATTTACATTACTTTCTTCATATACAGTACCTGTCATAGTTTCATCTTCCCAGCATCAGTGCAAGAAAAAGTGACCTTTGCCAATGCTACAACTGTTCATTGTCTTGACACAGCCCGTACCATAAAATCAGTCTTTTTTTATGCAAGCAGAACTTTTTATGTTATCTTTTGACATTGAATAAGCAACGAAAAGGCCAAGAATGTCTTTCTTTATAAGGCAGAAACGGATGTGTAACAATGTAGTACTGCATCTAGAGTTTCATCGTTGCTGATGAAAACACTAATCCTTGCAACACAGAGCATTGTTTTGTGCTGAGGTCAGTCGACTGCAAGAGCAATAAGCAAAAGTCTGCACCTGTCCAGACTGCCAGGATGTTTGTTGGGAAGCAAATGGAAAGCAAGATAAGGAAGCCAAGGCTGAGGTTAGGCAGAAGGCCAGGCCAGTTCAGAACACATCCACACTCTTAACACACCCTGTGCTCGGCATGAAGTCAGTGAAAACAGGTTTTAAGAAAACCCAACGTTGTCAGTTTCTCATCTGTTTACAGTTCTTATTTCAATACTAAAATAAAAATGGGCTTCAATTTTGACACACTGTTTCCGAGTGATAAAAATACTCCTGTCCTGCAATATGTTTTATTAGAGAATCTAAGTTTTTTCCATCCAGAAACTAAACTGAAGGCATTAACTTAGGACTAAAATGCCAAGAAGACAAGCCAGGAGTATATAGATAAAAATGAGGAAATTATTTGCCCAGAAGAGGAACAGGATGCATCTTTTAAGCATTACCTATAAACCCAGACGAGAACTTGTTAGTAAGAGAAAAACAAATGTTCTGAGTAACGCGACGGGAAATCCGACAGTTAGCCAGCCAACAGTTATGCTTCTGTTATAGCAGGACAAACTATGTGTCAGCACTTCCCGATGAGAACAAAATTGTAACAGGGAAATTAATAATCTAGCTTTACATTACCATAAATATACAGTATATTAAGAAAACAACTAGCTAGCTGATGCCCTTGGGTCATTTTGGCGTATTTTTGCATTTAGTCACAGATCCATGTGATATCTAGTCTAGTAGTTTTCCAGTTAGAAAATGTCACAAAAACAACAGAAATAAGCTAGTTAAGACCTTCCCATCTAGAAAAAACTGATAATCTGTAAGATGCTCGCTTATCACATCATGTGCCGCATGTGTCTGGTAACCCTTTTTCTACCATTTAATGTGCTTGATTTAGAGGACACCAAACTAAGACGAGGAAATTTCATGTGCATGATGCTGTTGGACATGTATTGAAACAATATGATACAACAAAATCTTAGGAAACCTACCAAGCTTAATACAAATCCGCAAACTACAGTATTTGCTGAACACGTTGGAGGCCAAAATATTTGTTGAAGATATCGCAAGCTATTAGGCGGTTGAGGAATGCTCTCAGACCCTTTTCCTCTCGCACTGCAA